ATTAGGCATAGCTTTACGGAATAGTCACAAATCTTTTTGAAAGGCCAAAGGTTTACATAGCATGTAATGACTGAATGGGTGGAAGGTGACTGGCTTTTAGTTTAGGGCATTAGGACAGTAAATACTACAAATAGTAAAAGAAGTTTCTCAAGATAAGTCTGTTTACCTTTACCTCCATTAGCAAAACCTTTGATCATCCTTACGTGCTTAAATGTCTTTTATTCAGGGGGTGGGCAGAAGTTAATTGCCCACTAATGGTGTTGATCCAAAGACCCTTGTCCTTTGGTATACTAAATAAAAGCCTGGAGTAGGGGCTGCTCAGGCCAGCTGCCATTAACTCCTTTGAGTGAATGGCCCAGACAGCCCAGCTCACTCTTCCACTGTATTCTGTGTTTGAGGGTACATTACTCATCTGTCACTTAGGCAGGGTCTGTATGACAGACCCCCACAAACTTTGATGCAAAAATCTGAACAAAATACTGGTAAGCTGAATCCAGCAGCACATCAAAAAGCGAATCCACCATGGTCAATTAGGCTTTATTTTTGGTATACAAGTTCAACATACACAAATCAATAAATGTGATTCATCGCATAAAGAGAACTAAAGACAAAAACAACATGACTATCTCAGTAGGCACAGAAAATGCTGTTGATAAAATGCAATATCGCTTCTTGTTAAAAAATCTCAATAAACTAGACATTGAAGGAACATACATCAAAATAGTAAGAGCCATCTATGACAAACCCACAGCTAACATTGCTGAATTGGCAAAAGTTAGAAGCATTCCCCTTAAAAACAAGCATTAAGACAAGGATGTCCTCTCTCACCACTTCTATTCAACATAGAATGAAGTCCTAGCCAGAGCAATCAGATAAGAGAAAGAAATGAAAAACACCTAAATAGGAAGAGAGGAAGTCAAATTATCTCTGTTTGCAGACAACATGATTCTATGTCTAGAAAACCCCATAGTCTTGGCCCAAAATCTCTTTGAGCTGATAAACAACTTCAGAAAATTTGCAGGATACAAAATCAATGTACAAAAGTCACTAGCATTCTTATACACCAACAAGAGCCAAACCAAGAGGCAAATCAGGAAGACAATCTCATTCACAATTGCTACAAAAAGAATAAAATACCTAGAAATACTGCTAACCAGGGAGGTAAAAGATCTCTACAAGGAAAATTCAAAACACTCCTCCAA